TGGCTATATTTTTTTTTGGCGCATAAGTGGAACCTTTATTGCTATTCTGCCTGGAAGGTTGACTTGTTGAAGCTGTCTACGGATCGTTGGAAAACTAACTTCTTGTCCGATTTCTGCTGCAATAGCCTTTGACGACTTAAATGGGCCTTTTTGCTCAGAGACATAATGTAGTGGTCAAGTGTTTTGTTTGTTTTCTGTGGTCTTTGGCGAGTTTCCTGACTAGGTTTCCTTTATAATATATTTTTTAAAAAATTATGAGATCTTTTCATTCATTTGGCAATGGCCCGAAGAGATTTTCTTTCTTTTTTCAGACTAAGAGCCAATCGGGCTTCCTCCTCTGTACAATGAGAATTTCGATCCCTTTTTGGAAGGAAAAACAAATTATTTGATTATGTTTTTACTTAAGCTAAATGAAATTTACCTTAAACGGCCAAAAAATCAAGAATTTCCAAATTATTTACTTAATATTGAAGAATTACTGACACTGTACCTATTATATTGATCAGCCAAAATATGTTGTCAACTCACATTTTCGATAAAAGCTCTGTTATTAGGGGGTCCCCTTATTTAATTTTTTTTTGTCAAGGAGTTGCGACATATTGACAAACTCCTTTGCAAATGATATGAGCTCGCTTTCCAGAAGATCCGTATATATCTTCGCATTCATCCGATCTGGTACGAAGCACATTCAAGACTTGCCAAGAGAGCTAAAGGCGGCCCAGACCATAAGTGAGCCACCACCCATGGTTGTGCCTGAAACAAGTCTGACGGGGATGCCTGGGGTCTCGCCAATACTTCTGGTTTCCATCTGGGCCGTCTAAATTAAACTTTTTCTCATCGCTGAAAATTTTCATAAAAGCCAAATCGGGCATTTTAATGTCGGTGCAATAGTTTTGGTCGTGCCACCTTTGCCTCATATTGAACACGCAATACTTCACGCATGTCGTTCGTTCTCTTTCGTAGTGACCAGACGTGTTTTTGTTTTGCGCTCCGCATTTTCCTCTTGATTAACTTAAACAGAAGGTGTTTTTTTTATCTATAATTTAACTCTCTAACTAACTTACATTAAAATCATACTTTTACCGCGGGTGCATGCCTGATAATTGTGTAAAAACACAACTTATTTAATAAATTTTGTGCGTCGGTTAGTCGTGTGTTTGTGTTGTTGCTTTTCGTAAGTACGCCCTCTCATTACATTTAGCCGCTCTTTGTCGTAGTTATTGCCGTCTATCACTCTCTCTATCACCTAAGTCTCAATAACTGTTCTTTCGCTCTCGCTCTTTGTAACTTTTTGTGCAGTAACTCTCTCAATTATAAGCTGTTGCTGCAACCACTCTCCTCTCTCATCTTTTACCAATTTCGCTTTAAGCATTGCTCTAAGCATTTGCTCTGCACAGTGGTCTGACTGCTATTTTTTTTGAACTTTTTTTTCCCAACGTAAAAAAAAATAAATAAAAGACTTCATTATGGATTTTGCTGTCGTGTGTGCCAAAAAACCCTGCAAGAAGCAAATCACCCATGACCAGCCCAATATCCCCTGCTGGCTTTGCGAAAGCGTAGTGCACGCAAAATGTGTAGAGACGCCATTTCCCAAAACAACGGCCTACATTATAGTTGTGAGGAATGCCGTGCTGTGGAAAACGACATGCGTTCGTTCATGAGGCAGACGCGGAGGGGCTTCAAAGAGCTGATCGTAGGCTTTAAACAGCAATATGATCGGCTCTTGGCCATGAACACTCAGTTCAGCAGTTTACAGCTGCTGGCTGAGTCTCCGAGGCGAAAGAAGTCTACTCCGCGGGACTTGCAAGTGCCGACTGCCTCATGTCCGCCGGCATCTGAAAAACTTACTCCGACCACTCCCTTAGTGCAGCAGATGATTACGTTTGCTACTCCAAGGGCAACGATCGCTGCTGGTGATGCAGATTCGGGAGCCGAATGCGTCACTTCGGAGAGTATGCAGGTAGACATGTCTGTAGCGTCCGTGTCCGTCGAGTCCGCACCCAACCCCTTAACTATCCCCTCAGTTTCGCTCCCACCAGCTAATAGATGTCCAGGACCACCGGATACTGCCATCACAGGTATAGAGGTTATATAATATAATTCTATATATTATATATTCTATATAATTCTATAATTATAGAGGTATTTCTAAGTTATCCGCTATTCCAAAAAGGTTTGAAAAAATTTTAACTCGGCACTTGCAACATCTATGCAAATCACTTATATCTCCGTCCCAGCACGGATTTATAAGGCGACGATCAACAACCACAAATTTATTAGAGTTTACCTCTTTTATCATTAAAGGCTTTCAAGGTAACTTGCAGACGGATGTCATTTACACTGATTTTAGTAAAGCATTCGATTCTGTAAACCATTCCCTTTTAGCACAAAAACTTGACCTTTTAGGGTTTCCGCCTAATCTTTTGAGATGAATTTCTAGCTACCTTCGTTCTAGGTCTCAAAGAGTCCTCTTCAAAAACTCCTTCTCTTCACCTGTTAAGGTTACTTCTGGAGTACCACAGGGCAGCCATATAGGCCCCCTACTATTCACACTCTATATTAATGATCTGCCTTCAGTATTAACAAACTCTCGAGTACTCATGTATGCGGATGATGTTAAACTTTGTGTCCAGTATAAGGACATTTCATTTCACTCTCGCTTGCAATCCGATCTCAATAACTTTCAATCATGGTGTTGTGCAAATATGTTACACCTAAATGCCTCGAAATGCAAAGTAATGACATTTTAAGGCTCCAGCCCCCTTTTGGCTCTTTATAGCCTCTGCGGTGGTTCTCTTGAGAGAATTACCTTGGTTGATGATCTTGGTGTTAAATTAGACCCAAAGTTAAAGTTTTCTGAACACATTTCTACCATGGTAAATAAGGCCATGGGTGTGCTTGGGTTTATAAAGAGGTGGTCAAAGGAATTTGACGACCCCTATATAACGAAGACTCTCTACATCTCGCTTGTTCGTCCGATTTTAGAGTACGGCTCTTGTGTATGGTGCCCCCAGTACAAAGTACACCAGGACCGTATAAAATCAGTTCGCGAACTAGTTCGCAAAAACTTGAGCAGGTTTGCCGATAACTGATATGACGATATTAATGGTATTAATATATATGCAATAGATATCACCAAATTATCCAACTCATTCAGCAACAAATTTTTTTTTTAATTTTCTTGCTTAAAATTCGGTAGCAGTTTCTAGAAAATGTTTTTAGATAATAATATAAACTTTAATATTACTATCAAACCCAAGATAACATAAGGGGTGTCCCGTTTAAATTTCAAAAAATAAATTTTTTGGCTCAACCTAATTTACAGTAATTTTACTTTTAAATCATACATATTTAAAATTTAAAAAAAAATTGCGAGCTTTTAAAAGTACACAATTGTTTAGCTGATTACACTAGTCAACACGACATTTACGCTGGGGCCCAAAATGACTTTTTCTGATAGATTTCGGGATTTAACATTTTTTAACGAAGTAGTGGTTTTTTTATGGTTTCGTTCTTTTTTTTAATTTTAAAAAATCTGGTATTTTTTTAATGTTTTTTTTAGAGGTAGTGCTTCTATATTTCACAAAGCTTAAGTATCTTTGCCGTTATTAAATGCTGACAAATGCAGTTATAAATCCTACCCAGATAATTTGTAGCTGCAGCTTAACGCATGGAAATTAAACTTAAAAATTTCATCATTGTTTGCGGGTGCGGAAGGGTGCGTATAGCAGTGTGATATCACACGAGTCTGGAAACCAAATTTGGTTGCTCTAGCTCTTATAGTCTCTGAGATATAGGCGCTCATCAAGGCAGACAGGCGGACAAACAGACATTACCAAAAATACAATATACCCCTTAACTCTTTGAGTACGGGAAAAAATAGAGAAAAAATACTTTTTGGAAGGTTGCGGGCCCAACTGCCAATTGGAAACAAAGCAAACGATAAGGGGTTGAATTTTGGTTACCTCAAGGTGTTCCTTTGGCATTGGACCAGCAACAGTATTTTTCAGGTAAAATGAGTTTTGAGCAGTGCTCGAAACAGATGCTCAACCAATTTTTTTTATGCTGTCTGCTCGCGGAAAAGACAGAAAAATGAAACAGACCTGCTCTCTCTCTGAACAGAACATGTATTTTTGTTGCTATCGTGTTTTTGCTGTCTCGTGCTGAGCGGCGAACGAAGCATAAGTGTTTTCCTACGAAAACAGTCTGAGCGAGAGACTTTCGTTCGGCGCTCATCAACTGAGCATCAGTCACTGAGCAAAACGAGCCAGCTGCATGCACGAAGTGTCTTTTTGTTGTAGTTGCGTTAGGTATTTGTTGTTGCTACTATATATTCCCTCGCAGGCAAAGCGTGGAAGAGGAAGGGATAACGAAGAACGAGAATGTAAATACGAAATCATAGGCAAATTTATAAACTTAAAAGATTTAATATCCATACTTCCACATATTTTTCATAACAAAACAAAAAATTAAAGCTGCATACAAATTTTTTTTTCGCTTAAATTAAGAATTAAGCTTAACAACTAATATTGAATTAATATTTTCGGGAGTTAAAGAGGTGCGCTTCTCATTTAAAATAAAATTAATGGCTGAGAACGAACTTTCTACCGACACCTGAGTTGCCGGAGTGGCTAACACCACCTGTGCCAGCTTACTTATTTGTAGCGACTTAAACTTTTTTTCGTGATAAAATTGTTTAATATCACTATTTAGTGGTAAACGGCCAAAAACAACATTGAAATTTTCGATTTCCATGTAAATTTTAGACAATTTGTCCGGTACTTCTTCTCCATTGACTTGAGGCTCTGGTTGCTTATCATCTAAATATGATGATACAAGTGACTTCCTCGGAAGCATCGATACTGCTTGTTTCGGAAGAAACATCATTTGTTTACACGGGCTCTGACGTGACACTTGACTTAATAAAAATATAAATAAAAACGTTATTATGAATACATTATTAGTACTTAGTGCATTGTTCGCCCCCACACGGGCTCTGACGTGACACTTGACTTAATAAAAATATAAATAAAAACGTTATTATGAATACATTATTAGCACTTAGTGCATTAATTAGTATTAGACAAAGACGATTTTATTAGTTAAAAACAAATAACTACACACATATCTATCTAGAAGACGAGACATCTACGTTCTTACCACATTTATAGTATCTTACTTGATTCAAATTGAAAATGCGTAACGCAAGTTTTTTTAAATTTTGTTTAGCTATAATTTTTTGTTGGTCGGATAAAATCAAATTAATTCGTGGGTCCATGTATATAGCTAATAACAAGGCTTCGTTTTGAAGCAACTTACTCTCGCGAATTTCGAGTTGTGCAAATAATTTTTTTGTTATGTAGTTTTGGCTTTTTTCACATTTAAGCTTAAGCTCCATCCACAATATAAAAAAATCGCTGTAAGCAAGTTGCTCCTGTTGCAGTGTTGCTTTATATGTGTCTTTAAATGCTTCAATATAAAGCTCTACCCAGTTCCAGTCAATGTCAAGATCGACATTAGTTTGCGTAGAAACAAACTCCTTTAGCTCGAATAGTTTTTCTAACATCAAGTAAGTTGAGTTCCATCTTGTGGTGACATCAAGAGTTGGAATGTGCCTCTGGTACGTCTACATAAAGTCAAATTTATTGTCATATATGTATGTATGATAACACAGAAACACACAGTACTTATATTTTCCGGTCTGCAAAACTTTGCACATTTGACGGCAAGTAGAAATTTGTTGGCTGATCTCGCTTTGTTTACTTACGTCGTACACGCACAATTGTAGTGTATGCGCTGCGCATCTCACAAGTTGCACGTTTGGGAATGCCATGGAATCCAGCAATTCCATAAAATCTTCGTCCTTGTCATCATCGGTTTTACTTTTCTCTGTGGCATCATCATTTATCAGCTCTATGGCCTTAACCATGTTTTTGCCATTGTCGGATGTAATGCTGAGCACAAAATACATTTATTGGCTTTTATGCTTGTTTTAATGAATAAACCCTTACCTAAAAATCTGATCAAGTTCAATACCATACTCCTGAACAATCTCCACAATTTTATTTTTTAAATAAAGTCCAGTATGTGACTCGAACAGCTGGATCATCCCAAGCGTTTTCACGACGATCTCCGTTTTTGACAGTGTAGATTTAAATATCTGTAAATTTATACCCAAGATGGATTTTTTCATCCTGGTTGGCACATCTATTTTAAGTGATACGAGCTTCCGTTTAACAGAAGCCTTTATATCTTCTCTTATGGATATCTGCCTCATTCGCACATGATCCATTATATTTCTCAATGTTATTGTAGGCATTTTCAGTGCATTATATATGGGGCTTAAAATTTCACGAAACCCTTCGCTGTCTAAAAGTAAAAAGTAAACATTTTTACCAGCATTCAATTATACCCGTTTCACTTGCCTCGTAGGCTATTTTCTTTTTCCTTTTTGTTGCTCAGCGGTGTTTGAGATATCTTCATTGTACGAGTGGAATGTTTCTTTATGTTTGGTATTTAAATGTCGCCGCAAATTTGTAACATGGTTGCCAGATAATTTTGCACCACACAAGTTGCACAACGATTTATTGTCAGTTGTATCAAATTAAAAAAAAAATTGCACTTTATTATTTCCCTGACGGCTCATCGTAATTGATCCACACGCTTCAACGAAAACAAACAAATGAGGCACGCGCGCAGAACACACACACACACACATACATTCGCAAAAGTCACTTTCGGCTGAACGAAGTGTCTCAAGTGATCGAATGCATAAGGAGAGCGACAAGACACTCGCGTTGGTTGAGCAAAGAGCGAAGAGCGAAAAAACGATGCCGAAGGGTCTTTTCGATTCCGTTTTTAAGCGTGTCCGCGAACAACCGGTTTTTTCATGACTGCTTGCAAAAAGGGACCACTTCTAGCGAGCTCTAGTTTTGAGTCGTTTTGAGTCGTTTTGGTCAAACGGCTGCAACTTGGACGTTTATCCATCGATTCTTACAAGCGATACCTTAAACGACGCCTAATGCATCTATCTAAAACTAAAAATGTTTGCCAAGAAATATTTTTTTTTCGCCTTTTCCTGAGTTTTTAAAGTAAAAATGTCGGAAAAAAAGACCGCAAAAAATCATGAAATCTTACTATCTTCCAGGCGTTAAGCTGCAGCTACAAATTATCTGGGTCGGATCTATAGTTGCATTTGTCAGTTTTTCAGAACTGCAAAGTTCTATGCAACCAGATATAAAGTACTTAAGTTATGTGAAAAATAGAAGCACTACCTCTGAAAACAAACATGAAAAAAATACAAGATTTTAAAAATTCTTTAAAGAAAAACTAAACCATAAAAAAACGAGAAGGAACGTGAGTCGCTTCTACTAATACCCGTACAAAGTCAGTATATACATTTTTGAGCTTATGATTTTTCAGAATTTTAGAACTAAAAAAAAAATTGTACATTTTACATTTTTTTGCTACATCTCTTATCTACATTTACATCTACAATGTATATTTTACATCTAACATGTAGATTATAGATGTAGCATTCATATTCTACATCTCCTCCGTTAGGGGTTGTTCGCGCACTGAAAGCAGCGGAGTGTGCGAGCGAGAAAGAGAATGAGTAGCGTCTCTGGCAGGGGGAGGAAGCAACTGAAAATTAATTTCTTCATTCTGGCTATAATTATGATCCGATCTGATTCAGATTCGGCAATCTGGTAGATATGGGCATTCTCTACGATACTGCGCTTTTAGTTTTATCGTATCTTTAAAATGTGCCTGCCACAGATTTTCGTCCTTTGTGGGGGCGGAAAGGGGCGGTGCGAAATTTTGAAATACACCTGTAGCAGTGTGATATCACATGAGCCTGGAAACCAAATTGGGTTGCCCTAGCTCTTATAGTCTCTGAGATCTAGGCGCTCCACAAGACGGACAGACAGACAGACAGACGGACAGACAGACATGGCTATATCGACTCGGCTATTGATGCTGATCAAGAATATATATACTTTATGGGGTCGGAAACGTTTCCTTTTCTGCGTTGCACACATCCACTTTTACCACATATCTAATATACCCCTTAACTCTTTTTTGAGTACGGGTATAAAAACATAGTACTATACACATTTTTAAATCCCGAAATCTATCAGAAAACGTCATTTTGGTACACAGCGGGAAGAAAAAGTTCAATTTTGTCGAGTAGTGTTATATAAGTTAACACATAAGAAATAACATATAAGAAATGAAGCACGAATGTTCATGTGCCACCCTAACGTAGCGCATAAGAAATATGAATAATCATGTGCCGCCCTAACGTATCCAAGTCTGATACTAAAGACGCTGATGCAGCAAATGTCCCCGTAGCGGGCGGCTCCCTAATCCCATTGTCCGCAAGCGATCGCATGATTCTGCCGCATGTTGCATGGTCAGCATTTCCTGTTTATGCGCGGCCGGCTATGTTTCGGTTAGGTTCAGAATTAAGTTTCAGTCTAAGATTTGACAAATAAATGAACGGAGCGTTCATATTAACTCCGACACGAGTCGTAAAATCTTTATTAACATAATTATATCGTTGAGCCTTAAGGGCCAACGAAATAGAGGGCAGTTACCCTCTCAACATAATCTTCAGTAGAAGACCTAGTTGCCAAACGGCAATCACCGCCCCCCGATACAAGAGCGGGCCACGGGAACCCGATCGCTGCCGCCGGAGCCAACGCAACGGAGACCGAAGGTCGGACCAACTGCACTTCAAGCCACCGCCCCCCGCTACAAGAGCGGGCCACGGCAACCCGATCGCTGCCGCCGGAGCCGACGCAACGGAGACCGCAGCTCGGACCAACATAACTTTAAGATAATTTATATACGAAAATATAGAAAATAATAAAGATCAAGGTATGTAGTATATAATGTATATAGCTTTTTTAAGTGTAGTCCTAAGATTTAAGTGTTGTGTAATGTAATTTGTAATTTATGTGTAGATTTGCAAAAAACTAACTTGGGTTCTCTGTGGTTCGTGGACAATAACTAACGACCTTAAAAAACGAATTACGTACCTATATTTATCGTTATTGACCTCAAAGTAATGAAATTTGCCCGTTTGCCCCCTTTAGTCACACATTAGTTTCGTCTTAGAGCCTTGTAACGCTGCGCTGATGCAGTAATAGATTTTATATTGGGAAAATCTAACAAAAGCAGCGTTATAAAAACAGAAGCGACAAATTTCATTATTCATTAAAAAAAAACTTCAACAATGCAATCCAAAATCAGGAAAAGTGATATTTTTTAAATTAATTTTTTTGTATCATATAGTTTGCTAGAAAACAAATTTCATATATTTTTCTAGCGGACAGTGGTGTGACCAGAGGTGTGCACTGCATTCCGTACGGTTACGGCTGGGGTCGCTCCTCCCCAGGCCACCCCAATATTTAATTCGCATGTCTGACTACACTAGTCAACACGATTTTTCCTCAAGGAACAAAACGAACTTTTTCTTAAAGATTTGGGGCTTAGAAATGGTTTGATAATATTTTTTTTTTTCTATGCAGAACTTTTTTTGAAGAATTTTTGAAAACTGGTATTTTTTTTTTAACTTTTTTCAGAGGTAGCTTGTTTTTTCACATAGCTCTAGTATCTTACGTCTGGTTGTAAAGAAATTTGCTATTTTGAGAAGATAATTAAAACACCTAGAAGTTTAGCCCAAACACTTTGTGATTACAGCTTACCATCTGGGAAATTAAACCATTGAAATGCAAAAATGATGATTTTGGGCGGTATTTTTACGAAATTTTGACTTTAAAAACTCAGGAAAAGTCGAAAAAAAATTATATCTTGTGTCCTCTATTTTTTTGTGTATAGGTGCGTTAATTTGGCTCGTTTAAGGTATCGCTCATTAAATATGGGTTGCTAAATGTTAACCAACCTAAATATAATGACAAAAATACCTTTTAGAAGGTTGCGAGCTCAACTGCCCATTGGGAACAAAGGAACGCGATCAGGTACCAAATGTACAACCCTTGTTCGTTTGCTTTGTTCCCAATTGGCAGTTGGGCCGCCGCCTTCAAAAAGGTATTTTTGTTCATTTTTTCATATTTTAGGTTTGGTTAATGAACTTTAGCTCGTCTCTCAACGCACCTATACACAAAAAAATGATAATTTTTTTTCGACTTTTCTGGGTTTTTAAAGTCAAATTCGTAAATCCGCACAAAATCATCATTTTGCATTTCAATGTTTTTTTCCCAGACGGTGCTGAATCACAAGTATTGGGCTTAACTTCTAGCTGTTTTAATTATCTTTTCAAAATAGCAAAGTTCTTTACAACCAGACGTAAGTTACTGTATGTGCACAAGCGCTACTCGCTTTAAAAAATACCAGACTTCAAAAATTCTTCAAAGCTGCCTGTTTTAAAAATTTAAGTCCCCATATCTATCAGAAAAAGTCGGTTTGGATCCTTGAGGAAAAAAGTTCGATTTTGTCGAGTAGTGCTATCAGCAGCAGCAGATGGCGACGCTTCTCGACCACCGTGAAGAAAAAATGTTTTAAGAACAATATTTGTTTTATATTTATGAAAATTAATAAAAAATATTATAGTATAATATCCATATAATTGTCCTTCATATAATGCTGCATTAATTAGATTCTATTTATCTTCATTATTTAAATATTTCATTTGGTTTTTTGTTCTCATATTGCAATGTTTGCTTCGTGTTTGGTGGCAAAATATATCAAATTGATATAACTTTCGAGGGGGGTCGAAACATACCAGCAATACAAGCAAATACTTCGGATACTTTTCTAGTATATACCGCCCTTTTTGTTTTTTTGATCTGAGTACTGCCTTCCGTACAGAGCCTAGAAAACAGTTTTTGCCCGAAAAATTTCTTATCGGTTTCATACGAATATCAACCCTGATTCTGTTCGCGAGGTGTTTTTTCGGAACTGACTACTAAGCTTAAGTAGATATTATCTTTAAGAAAACAATTTTTGTATTTTCGGATAAAAAATCAACTCTGCCGAATATAAGGAAAGATCGCGAAAACTATACTGGGTCGTATATGGGCGGCAAGGGTAGGCGTGGTCCGATTCCTCCGAAAACTTGTGCCGAGGACTTTTAGACATCATAAAGATTAAATGCGGCAAACAAATTTTTAATTGTATTTTTTAACTGCGATATTCTAATATTACTTGAAGAACCTAACTACTGTACGAATAATTTATGTGCGTATAAACATACCATAGCATAATTAAAATATATATTTTTGAACAGATAGTAAAAATGCTGATCTTCGATATAAAACTTTTTTTGTTTAACTTAACCAGACGACAAGTTACAGGTGTTCAAACTAGAGTGATGAAGGTGTACGTATATGTGTGCTTACTGTATGTATATTCGTTTGGTAAAATATTCACAGATATGGTTGTAAATCCAGTTGAACATACATATATTCTGGGAACTTACTCAGCGACATCAGGTTCGGATTCTTCATTATTTTTGGTTGCCGGCAAATCATAGATACAACTGTTGTTTCTGATAGCAAAGGCATTCTCATCAGATTGAATTTGAAGTTGGTCAACCTAAAATCGAAGAATTATAAAGATACACTGGAATACTAGAGGTTGAAGTACGTTAATTCCATACCAGCTTGGTTACTTCCTGATCTTCTGCTTTTTTTACCCAATCCGTCATGGTTAGTATTGTTGCCAAAGAGCAATGTTAGCTTAAATTTCAATATGTCGAAAAGTTATCGTCATAACATTTCGATATTGAGTTATGAGCGATACTAATAGGCGGTATTTTGGAACACTAGATAATCGAACATTGGATAGCATTAATATGTTATATTATTTGTAATCAAAAATAAACAAAGACGGGTTTTGACAGCTATGCTCAAGTTTTCACCAGCTATTGCTATTAAAGTTAAAAGAATTGTCCGTATTCATTTTTATTGCGTCTTGCGGATGTTAAGCAT